AGACTGAAACCACAGCGGCGGCAGGGCAGTGCTCCCTCTAGAGGCCTCAGGAGGGCCTCTTCCTAGCTTCTGGTGGCTTCCGTCAATCCTTGGTGTCCCTTGGCTGGTAGACGCAGCGCTCCAATCTCTGTCTCTGTCGTCACGTGGTGTTCTGTGTGTCTCTGTCCCTATGTCTGCACAAGGCTGCCTTATAGGGACACCAGTCTTTGGATTTAGGGTCCACCCTAATCCAGTATGACCTTGTATTAACTTCCAAATAAGGTCCCATTTGTAGGCACCAGGGGTAAGGACATTAACACTGACCAAAGAGTGCAGGGTGGCTTGGAAGGACCTTGGAGATGACCAGGGTGGGGACCTGGGGTAAGGGTTGTCCGGGCAGCACTCTGTTTGCAGCCCAGGGTGGAGGGGCCGGCGGGGGGCCCTGTTGCTGCTCCTTCCTGAGGGCTCTGACCCGCTTGTTCCTGGGTGAGGCCTGGGCTCTGCTGAGGGTGCAGCTGGTGTGTCCCTGCAGGAGCGAGGGGCCGAGCTGGGGTCTCTGGAAGGGTGTTTCTCCTGTGCTCTTAAAGCCTCCCCTGAGGCCTCCCTCCCAGAGGGCGAGTGGAGGGGGAGGGGGTCCCTGCAATGGGAACTGAAGGTGGGGACGGGAGGCTGGAGGGCTGGAGGGTTTCGTCCCATCCAGTAGGAGGGGGCCCTCTCTGCTCCCTGCTCCCCGGGGAGACCTCGGGCTGCAGACACGGGCAAGCAGGGGCCCTGTGTGTCCTGTCAACAGGGTGTGGCATAGCCAGATGGGAGAAGAGGTCTCATCTGCTCTTACCCAAGCTCCTGGTCTCTCTCCAGACTTTCCAAACATCCTGGAAAGGTTTGGAGTCCCCCACACACCGAGGCTACCCGCCTGTGTAGGACAGGGATGGAAGAGTGCCTCAGGACAGCCCGCTGATGTGGCTGAGAGGGGCCCTCGGGAGCACTGGGGCCCCAGACTCTGTGCCCAGGCCAGCTTGCCCAAGTGGGCTCAAGTGGACCAGATGAGAGCCCCCACCTGGGCCTCGTGATCCCTGCCATCAGCCACTGACTCCTTCACTCAACGACCAGGATCAGGAGACCTGGGTTCCGACTGGCTCTGTCACGTGTTCACTGTGCGACCTTACCCAAGTAACTTGCCCTCTCTGGGCCTTGGGTTCCCACGTACAGTGTGAAGGTTGGTCTGAGGATCTTTCCCAGTGTTCCCCAAAAGTTCAATAAACCCAGTTAACAGGAATGACCGACCCCCTGTGATGGAACTCCAGGCACCATGTGACAGGCGGGTGGAGAAGAAGAGCTTCCTGCTGCCCAGGTCATTACGTGCCATACCCTGCCAGGAAGCGCCCCCCAGCGCCCGGTCATCCCCCGCAGCAGCACGGTATGCTTGGGAGATGAGCCCCGGAGGGGCCCAGGGTCAGGCTGGCCAAGCTGGGAGGAGAAGGGGGGAGGTTAGGAGGTTCCTGCCAGAGTACTCTCTTCTGTGACGTCGCATTTACATGTATGCACAGCATGTACTTGTGTATAGATAAGCTCACACACGTTTTGTATGTAATGAATACATGTAGGTGTGTGTCTTAACCATATATGTGGGCATTTTTGTGGGTGGACATCTACCTATTTGAACTTGAATTGTGTGAATGAGGGCCCAGATTTGTGAGGTCGAAATGTTTGTGTCTGTGCCCGTGTAGGGTATGTGTGTGTGCGTGTAGGCTTGTGTGCACCCTGTGTGCTTCCAACTGCCCTGAGTGCTGGGAAGGCCAGAGCTGTCCCAGAGCCACCTCTGTGGTCAGGAAGCTCTAATTTTCCCATCTAGGACACCAAAGCCCACCTGCCCCTTGGCCACTGGGGGGCTGCAGCCAGGCCCCCAGGAGGAGGAGAGTTACGTCCAGGAGGCTGGGATGTGACTTGGCCATGGCACGAAGGCAGGGTTGGGCATGTAAACCTTTGGAGACCTTTCTGGGGGCTCTTGGCCAAGGTGGTGGGGAAGGGGGCTCAGCTCAAGACGTGACTGTGGAGCAAGATCCCAGGTGGCCTATCACCTGCCCCAGGGATGGCCCAGAGGCTTCAGGTCCAGCTTGGGGGGCTACTCTTGCAGCTGGCAGTTGTCCAGGCACAGAGCGACGTATGAGAGCTCAAGAAGCCCAAGGGTCCAGCGCCCAACAGCAAGGCCAGCTGGCTCATCCCATCCCATGCTTACGGACCTCATCCTACAGGGGCTGTCCTGCCTCCAAGCCTGCTCTGGGCCCTACCCCATGCTACTCACTCACCTGAGAGTGGAGTGGCACCTTCAGGCAGGGAAGAGCCCTGACAGCACAACTTGTGCATACCCCTGCAGCTCTGCCACACACCGTGTGGCCCCTGAAAATTGCTTTGCGCTCCGGGCTGCCGTTTCTGCCTGTCCAACCCCACTGCTAGTGTCTCAGGCCAGGCCTCGTCACTTCCAGCTTAGGCTACTGCAGCCATCTCCTCCCTACCTGCCCTCCCCAGGCTCCATACTCACGTTCTCTGTCCTGCCTACCATGACCCTCTGCCAGCCGTGACCCTCTGTCGCCCGGGCCCCAGCCCTGGCCTGGTTGACTCTACTCCGGGAAGTCTCTCTGATCCTCCGAGGGGGGCTCCCACGGCACCTTTGCACGTCCGTTCCTTTCTCTCTCTCCATGTAGCATGTCCTCCTTAATGAACTGTGAGGGCATCAAAGGCAAGGCCTGTCCTTTCTTTATGTTCATGCACCAAGGCCTAGCACAGGCTTGGAACTTGTAGTTACTCACAAAGTATTCTTTAAATGAAAGAAAGAATGAATGAATGAATGAACACATGTGTGAAGGAACGAAACCTCGAAGGGTTGAGCACACATGGCTCTCAAAGCCCACATCTTCCGCTGTAGAATCTGCAAACCTGCTTCCCTCATGGTACTCATTCTTGGAGTCCAAAAGCAAGGCTTTTTCCTTTTTCCTCCTGTCACCCGGTGCTGTGGAGCAGGCCTGCCCCAGGGAAGATTTGCAGATAGCAGGGCACGATTCTGCTGCTCTGCTGCCCTCAGCTGGCTGAGCAGGGAAACTGACAAAGCCTGGAAGCTTCTCTGGCTGCAGTGGCTCCTACCCTGCCTGGGGATGGGAAGGGAGGTTTCTGGAATGCAGAGCATGATGGCTTTCCCCTTTCACCTGCTTCTGGGTACAGGCCTGGGATTGGAGCAGAGGAACATGTCTAAGAACACAAAACAGCCTGTGCTCCCCAAGTGACGTTTTGGGAAAGGTACTGGGTGTGGCTAGAGTCAGAAGCCCCAGGCTGGGCCCTGCTAGACTTGCTCTGTGACAAATCTCAAAGGCAATCTGGGCACCCAGTTCCTCAGCTGCAAACTCTACTTCCCGACGTAGATCAGGCATCGTGGGTCTCATCTTCATTCTGCCACCCCCTCGCCCCAGTGCAGGTACCTTCTTGCTCATGTCTCAGAGGCCGCACAGGTGTGTGCCTGTTGCTGTCCCACCTTCGCCAGGCTAGGTGGGTTTGGGGTCCTCTGTCTTACCCACCTCTGAATACCTAGGACCTATCAGAAAGCCAGCCCACAGGGGGCTGTCCAGCTTCTGAACAAATGAAGGCCGTGCTTTGTTAGGTCCATGCAAACACCTGGCAGCAGGCGTGCCTTTTTTTTTTTTTTTTGAGACAGAGTCTCACTCTGTTGCCTGGGCTAGAGTGAGTGCCGTGGAGTCAGCCTAGCTCACAGCAACCTCAAACTCCTGGGCTCAAGCAATCCTTCTGCCTCAGCCTCCCAAATAGCTGGGACTACAGGCATGCGCCACCATGCCCGGCTAATTTTTTTTATATATATATATTTTTAATTGTCCAGCTAATTTCTATTTTTTTTAGTAGAGACGGGGGTCTCGCTCTTGCTCAGGCTGGTCTCGAACTCCTGACCTTGAGCGATCCGCCCGCCTTGGCCTCCCAGAGTGCTAGGATTACAGGTGTGAGCCACTGTGCCTGGGCACCCGGCCAGGCGTGCCTTCTTGACACCCACTGTGCAGAGGCCCAGTGCCACACCCATCCTCTGCCTGCCCTGCCTCACAGAGGGGCTGCCCCGCTCCGATATTTCCTGGGCTCCCTTGCCAACTGGCTCCTGGTTAATCTGGCCAATGGGAGACACCCATGGTAGAAGCCAGGGCTCTTCTCCCCTCCCTCTTGCTTCAGGTGACAATGCTGCCAGTGTCATTTCTTGGCATACAGGCCTACAAGCAGCTCTTGAGACTGCAATCCCAGCTCTGGCAACACCCCCTGTTCCCTGGGGGCAGCAGTGGCCGCCTGTGGTTGCCCATCTCAGGGTTGCCCACCTTTGCAACTCACTTCCCACGAGACATCCCCCCTTGGCCCGCCAGGCAGTTGGTCTGCCTGGCCCAATCCTGGTGCATCTCTCCTCTCCGCCACCACGCCACACAGTGCCAACACCCAAGTCTCTGCGCTCCCCCTCTTCCCCAGCCAGGCCACAAATGAAGCACATTCCACCACCACAGGTCAGAGGCTATTTCTTTATACAAAGGTAATCAACACCGTGGACCCACCAGCATGCTGCTGCAGCTTGCATGGGCCCGTCTCACCGCTTCTGGGACTGTGGAGGGGGGGATACACTACACAGGCCTGGGGACTGCCAAGCACACCAGCCGGGAGTTCCTGAAGGGCAGAGACACAGACACAGGGACACTATAACCAAGAGCACAGTACACAAGGACAGGAAGGGTGGTGGAGCTGGAAATAGCCACTGGCAGCCACTGCCCTTTTCCCCCACGTGTTCTCTGGGAGGAGGCGGGACCTGGCGCCACGAAGCCTGGCAGTGCTGCTCCAAGAGCCACGTGACTCGATGCAGGCACAGACTGTCTCACCTTATGCATCTGTAAACTGGCAACAGTAAATGGTACTTCACAAAGCTGCCATGAGCACAAATGAGACTGAAATAGGGACATTTATCAAAGTACTCAACACGGAGCCTGGCACAAAGAGGTGTTCAATAAATAATTGGTCAGGAAAATCTTAGCTCAGAGAGGACCTTCTTCAGAAGGCCAAGGTATGAGATAACTTCCCCAGAAATTCTCTCAGGGGATGGGGACCCTTGAGGACTCCTTGGAGCCTGCAGCCCCTGGAGTGCCCAGGGCCCCGGAATATACTGTGCCAGGGCAGCTGACAGGGGCAGGCGGCTGGACCCCCAGGGAAGTTCCCGCAGAAGCTGGGTAGACACTGGAGGAGTTGGGGTTGGGACCAAAATGGTTCTGCACGTAACAGAGGCCGGAGGCAGGCTGGTAGGGGGGCAGGCTGGGCATGTGCCCGGGAGTGCAGGCGGGCCAGGAGGCTAGCTTCTGACCACTGGCATGCTGCATCTGCGTGACAGGGTGGCTTGAGGACAGGTGAGGGTGGCAGCTCTGTGTGGGATAGGAGCCGGGCACAGGGTTCAGCCTGGAATGAACAAGAGAGAAAACAGTTATTCAGCTAGTAATGTCGACATCAAAGCATCATGTCGTTCACAGAAGGAAAACGTGGGGCTGCGCCCTGCTTTATAGTGCAATGTACCCTGCACGTTTTCCATGACTAGCAAGGATAACCTTAACCAAAGCAAAACAGATGCCAGAGAGAAGGGCCCAGTCAGTCCCATGAGTCAGTGTATGAAGGGACACTTTGCTCGTGGCTGAGGCCGCGTGAGGTGTGGCCTGCTTACAGCAGCTCCGAAACCAGATGGAGAGACAGGACCAGGTCACAGGAGTCAGTGTGTCTGTGGCTGGCTCACCAGTTCTGCCCAGAGAACGGATCCACCTCTGGGGGAGGGAGGAGGCGCTCTAATGGATAACACAGGGCTTGGGCCAGGCCCTGGCTGCTGTGAAATTTTCTACCTGTCACTTCAGAAGTGAAGGCTCGCAGCTCAAACTCCTGACTGCTTGGAACCCACGAGTCAGACACGGGCAGCTGTCTGTGCTGAGAGGTTAAAGATCTCCCCAGACACATGTGGCTGAGACTAGGAATGGAGACACATTCTAAGGGTTTTGTCCTCTCTGAACTTTTTAAAAAAAAATTTTATTTATCTTTTTAGAGATGAGGTCTCACTCTGTCACCCAGGCTGGAGTGTAGTGGCTGTTTACAGGCACAATAATTGAGCATTATAGCCTTGAACTCCTGAGCTCATGCAATCCTCCAGCCCCAGCCTCCCAAATAGCTGGGACTATAGGCACGTGCCACCATACTCAGCTGTCCTCTGAACTTTTGTGCAAAGTTCAAATACAGAGAGTGGATGTCAACACCACTGATGTTTTGTATTAAGTGAATGGATTATACCTGTACACATGTCAATTAAAACCCAATCTTGTAAATCAGGTGCTTCAGTCCAGGCACAGGACACTCATGTAATAGCACTTCTTATGGTACTAAAAAAAGAACTTCCCAACAAGAGCCTCCGAGGAGACAGCTATACAGAAGGTCACCTCAGTGCCAAAATAAACTGTGTCTAAGAACGCTGTCCGTGACCCATTGTCAGGCTGCCCGAAACATAATGTTCTATTCTGGCTGTTTGAAGCAGGCACAGGCAATGAGGGGTCAGACACCACGCCACGTCGTGTCTGTGTTCTGTGAGGAACACAGAAAAAACAGAAAGGGCCACTATCCCTACTCCCCCCAGATCTGCCTATCAAGGTGGAGCAGGATCAGGCCTGGTGCTGGTGTGTAGCAGCCTCAGAAAGGCCGAATGCAATTCACTGTGGATGAACTTTCCAGTGAGGGGAGCCCTGGAGGTCATGCTGCAGTCACTGGAGGTGTGTGAGGTATGGCTGGCTGCCATCAGCTATTACAGAGGGGACTCCCTCCTGAGGTGAGGGTTTGCACCCAAGTCCCTGAAGCCCTCTCAAGATTCTACAAGAACAATTAAAAACCACAAAACACCCATTTCAAAGTTACAGTCTCCCTACATCTAGACCCCAGGAATTACTTGACCAAAGTGAAATAGGTGAGTTTGCATTTCTGTTTTTCCCAGTAACCCTCCCTGCCTTTAAGAGAGGGAGGGGGACCCACAGCGGCGGACCCACTTCCACCTGGGCTCTCCTCCTGATGCCGTTACCTAGACATGCAGGTAACCGATGTGTGAGGAAGACCCTGGTCCTCCTTGAGCCTCCTCTGTAAAATGAAGGAGTAAGGCTATGTGAGCCCTGGCGCCTTACCTGCACTTTCCATGTGAGAGTTTATGAGCCTGGACTGGAAAACAGTAAACCTCACCTTCCCTTGCTGGGTGGCTAAGAAACCCTACCTCTCGGGTCGCGGGCTGTACCTCTCCTAAGCAACCTAGCTAGCTGTGTGGGCCGCCTGTACTTCTCCTGAGGGCCACAGCCCAGTCTGACCTGCGCAGGGTGTTTGTCAGGCTGAGGAGTGGTTAACAGCATTAGGTAGCGTCACTCCTGCCCAGTCTGTCCACAGTCGCTCGGGATTATGAGCAAGTGTCCTCAAATGCCTTCCCTTTCCCATTCCTGCTCGGTCCCTATCTCAGATGCAGTCAGGCAAAATCCAGGGTGTTCAGAAGACACTGATTTTCAAGTCTGCCCACACCCATTCCTTTATTACCATGGCACTGAACCAGCCGCAGCCTCTACCGGCCCCGAAGTTGCTTTAAGAACAAGATTGCAGAGTTCTGTGACTTACTTCCGGCTCTGGGCTGCCCTTCTTTCAGCGGAAGATCCCGAGACGTACTTGAACATGGATATCCTTCTCATGAGGCTGAAGGGGAACTTCTGATCAAGCTTCAGTGCTACTCGCTCTGAGAGGTCGAGGGAATAGCAGTATGTGAGGCCATCTGAGGTTGACTTATTAAGTAAAATCGGAGGCAGCAAAAGCGAGGAGGGCTGAACATCCCCATGGAAGAATGCAGGTCCCCACACTTACTCTACAGAGGAATTAATGCTTATTCCACCACAAACTCTGGCCGGAGTTTCCAGGTCAGAAGAAATCAAGAGTCAAAGTTTCTATCCACTGTACCTCACAGGGAACATGGCCAGCAGTCGGGGAGGGCAGGTGGGCGTTAACACTTCACCTTCCCCTGTGCCAACCCATCCCATCTCTTGGGCCCTTCTAGCCACTGCAATCACAGAAGCCAGCACACACCTCTGCCCTTGTAGAGGGTGAGGCAGGAGGCCATCAGAGGGACTAACACCTTTTTGTACTTTTGTCCCAAATGGAAAGCACCTGCCTCCATGTGACCATGTGAGCTTCACATGGGCCTCTTTGGCAGTGCTCCATCCACACTCTGTCACCATCTCCAGTGACTTGATGGCATCCTGGTCATCTGACCTGTGTCAGCCCACCTCTGCCGAGGCAGCCACAAAGATTCAGCCTTCATTTATTCATATATCCTCTCCATAAATATTGGACATTTATGATATGCCTACACCAAGGAATTAGTAATTGGGGTAGAATCAGTGGTGACAAGCAAAAGCTTATCTATAGAAGACCATGGTAGGGACCCTAACCTAGTCTAGGGAGACTAAAGAAGGCTTTCCTTAAGGAGGTAATGTGGAGGCCAAACCCCAAATCCTGAGTAGCAATAGCTAGGTAAAAGAGGTGGTGGTGGAGGAAAGGCTATAGGGAAGCACTGCCAAGAAAAAGGTGTTCCCTGAGGCAGCATTCTTAACCGGAATGCAACTGGCATTTTGAGCAATACAACTCTTTGCTAAGCTAGACCATATCACTCATTACAAGATGTTTAGCGTCCCTGGCCACTGGCCACTAAATGGCAATAGCACCTAGTTATCGTTGTAACTAAAAATGCCCCTGCAACTTTCAGGGAGGACAGTATATTTCCAAACACTGATTACAGGTGATGACCAAGGCTGCAGGAAGTCATAAGTTGCCATGGCTGATGACTTCAGAATGATCTCAAAACTCTATTCCACTTGACTTTGATGAAGTAATAGTATTATAAATCGATTAGTCCTCCTATCATAAATATCTATAAACCAGGACACACTATGTTAAACTCTTTTCGGACTTTGGACAACGGACATTACTGGACTGTGATCCCTATGAAAAGGGAAACAAATAAATTGAGCCCTAAGATTGTGCTGGCTTTCTGCCCAGACGCACTTTCCAAACTGCAATAGGAGTGTGGCATTTGTTGCTGTGCCAGAGAGACAGATAAAAAGAGTTTGGGGAGGATGAAGTGGCTGGATTTGCAGATCAGAGCAATGGAGAGGAGGGTGCTGCTGAGAAAAGGAGCTCTGGAAATCTGCACAGGAGCTCCAAGTCTTTGGCTGCATAAGAAGGTGCACATGCACAGGGTGAGGCTCCTCAAGCCAAGCAAGAACAGCTACTGCGGAAACGACAACCATTGGGGAGCGGTGAGTTTAACAGTTCCTGGAGCTCGCACAGGGTAGGGACATACTCTTGAGTTCCAACTGGACAGAGAGAAAAGATCTCACTGAACACTAAGGGCATTCAGAAGAGACCCCCAAAATAAAAAAGTTTATTCTAAATTAGCACTGAATAAAGGCTTATTCTAGACTCTCTCTAAAAGAGCTTAAAAACAAACCTCAAGTTTCAAGCTAATCTTCAAGTAAATTAACTGCCCATGAGAATAAAAATCAACAGTCTTTAAAGGAAGACAATAAAACCCAGCCCTCAATACTACAGCATTCAGCGTCTAGCATAAAATATTACCAGACATGCAAAGCAACAGGAAAATGGGGTCCCATAATCGGAAGGAAAATAGGTCAATAGAAACAAACAGATCCAGAAATGGCAGAGATGATGGTATTAACAGACAAGGACTTTAAAACAGTTATTATAAAAATAAATACATAAGTATTTAAAAATATAAGTATTTAAAGGAAAACAAACATTATAAAAGAATCTGTATAGAAATGAATACTATAAAAAAGAACAAAATGGAAACTATTGAGCTGAAATACAAACATGTGAAACGTAAACACACAACATGTGAGATGAGGTTTAACAGCAGATCAGACACTACAGAAGAAAAGATCATGGAACCTCAAGGGCAATAGATACTGTTCAAACTGAAGCATAGAAGGGAAAAAAGGCTGGAAAAAAAGAAATGAACAGAGTCTCAGTTACCCATCAAACAACATCAAGTAGTCTAAACATGTGTACCTGGAGTCCCAGAAAAAGAGGAGAAAATAGGATAGAAAAAAATATTAAGAAATAATGATCATAAGTTTTCTCAGATTTGATGAAAATTCTACTAACACATCCAAGATCAATGAACTCCAAGCAGGATAAACATAAAGAAAGCCACCTCAAGGTATATCACAATTAAAAAGCTGAAAACCAATGATAAAGAAAAAACCATGAAAGAAGCCAGAAAAAAATCAACACATTACATAAAGAGGAACAATAAAAATGATTACTAACTTCTCATCAGAGATAATATAAGCCAGATGATAATGTAATGATATCTTTAAAAGGGGAGTCCAGGGAGATCAGAGAAGGCTAGAATTCTACATTTAGTGAAATAAAAGCATTTTCTGACAATCAAAAGCCAAGAGAATTTGTCACCAGTAGACCTGCTACACAAGAAATGTTAAAGGATGTTTTTCAGGCTAAAGGAAAATGATACCATATGGAAACTTGGATCTACATAAATGTGAACTAGAAATCCGCACAAACTAAAATGGTAGATATGTGAGTAAATGTCTGCTTGTATTTTAATTTTAAAAAATATAATTGTTTAAAACAAAAGTAATAGCAATGTATTGTGAAGTTTTATAACATAGGTAGAAACAAAACATGACAAGCATGCAAAAGATGAAAAGAAGGAAAATAAAAATACAATGCTGTAATATTCTTACATTATATGTAAAGTGGTATATTATTTGAAAGTAGTCTGTGATAAACTAAAAATGCATAAATGTAAGCTCTAAAGCAACCACTAAAAAAATATAACAATGAGTTATAGCTAGTAAGCAATTGAAGAAGATTAAATACTAAAAAAATATGCAATTGAAGACAGGAAGAGAGGGGAAAACAAACAAACAAAGAACACTTGGAACAAATAGCAAGCTAACAGACTTAAACATCAATCATTACACCAAATGTAAATGGGCTCAGCACACCATTTAAAAGGCAGAGATTCTCAGATTGGAGGACCACATATATGCTATCCACAAGAAATATGTTTTAAATATGATGACACAAATATGTTAAAAACACAGGGATGAAAAAATATAGATCATGTAAACCCTAATTGTAAGAAAGCAGAAAGCTGGAATAATTACATTAATTTCAAACAATGTAGACTTTAGGGTAAAGAATATTATCACAGATTAAAAGGATCAATTTCATGATGATAAGGGGTCAATTAAGACAACATATAATCCTAATTGTGTATATATCCAATAACAGAGCTTCAAACTACATGAAGCAGAAACTAACAGAAACGAAAGGCAAAAACAGACAAATCCACAACTGTATTTGGAAATTTCGACAGCCCCCTCTCAATAAGTGATAGAACAAGTGTAAGGATATAGAAGATTTGAACATCAATCAACACCTTGACCTAACTGAGATATACAAAACACTATACTCACCAATTGTGGAATGCACTTTCTTTTCAAGCACACATAGAACATTCACCAAGATATACCACATGCTGTGCCAGAAGCTATTTAAAACAATGGCAATCGTACAAAGAATGTTTTCTGACCACATGAAATTTAAGTAGAAATCAACAGCAAAAAGAAATCTGGACAATGTCTAAGTATTTAGAAATTAAGCATCTCACTTACAAATAATCCTTGGATCAAAGAAGAAATCCCAAGAAAAATTAGGAAATGTTGTTAACTGAGTGATAATGAAAACACAACATATCAAACATTGTAGGATACAAAGTAGTATTTGCAAGGGAGTTTAAAGTTTTAAATTTTTATATTAGAAGATAAAGGTTTAAAATGAACAAAGTTAAATTAAAATTTAAAAATAAGAGCTATGTTATCAATCACCTGTATTTACAACTACCTACTCTAATAGCTTATAGAATCTTAAATTGGAAGAGATTTCAGGAGTGTAACTTGTCTAACCGTCAGCACTACCAATTTTGATGTTTAAAAAAATAACCCTACTTTGCATTTAAATTTTTCTTTTCTAATTACCAGAATATTTATACCAAGGCTATAAAGGCTTATCTTAAGTTTTTAACCACCCATATGGTAAAAGCCCATCTTTCTTTCATTTTTCTTTTCCGAGAAAAACCTAACAAAACCAAACAAATCTGTTTCCCATTGCTTTCACGGAACATCTCCAACTTATGGGTACCTCAGATTCTTCCAGTGAAAACTCTTAGCATGATTAGCGAAATGTAGGTTTACACCTCAGTTTATAAAAACAAAAAATCCAATCAATATATTCCATTAATTGGCAGTACTGTGCTGGTATTTTCCAGACGAGAAAATTCTGGTCCAGAGAGGGGAGGTGAACTGCCCAAGGCTACATGATTTTCACAGCTGAAGCTGGACCCTGGGTTGCCTATAGCTGAGCCCAAGACTCCCTCTACTTGACAACCCAGACCCTCCAACCCAGTTCACCCTTTGGCATGGCATCATTCTACAATTCTCTTTTAGAAAGGATACATGCTAGCCCAATCGAAAGTCCACAGACATTACTGAGGAAAGAGGTCTGGGGAATGAGCCAAGAGGCGCCCAGCAGGAGCCATGGCACCAGGACTGATGGCACAACCACACCAAACACCAGGGCCCGCCTCATCCGGGAACGGACAGATGTGACTCCCAGCATGGCAAAAGCCACCGGGGTGAAACCTCTGGCATCTTCCACCTCCCCCAGCTTTGACAGTGATGACACAGCCTCAAAGGACAGGAAGATGATAGCAGAGCAGACGGCGAAGATCAAGGTGAAGAAGCAGTGGCGGACGGTGCCCACAGTTCTCTCAAAATTGCCAGCGAAGCGCCAGATGATGATGGCACCACAGAGCAGGGAGATCGGATTCTCATAGACAAAGATGTAGGTCACCAGCCTGTAAACTGAAGAGGGAGCGTGGTTAGAGGCCTGATGCTGGGTTGCTCCAAGGAGGGAAAGCCAGGTTATAAGCCACCTAGGAAAGGGAGAGCAGCCCCCATGTTAGAGAACTGAGAGCCAGTGAGAATCAGCAGAAGCCAACATAAGCAGTTGGGGGGCAACCATGAAGGACCCAAAGAGTCAAAGTGGAGGCATGAATGTCTAATCCCTGCTCTTTCCCAGACCTGGTGCAAGTCTCATAAGTATCTGATTTCCATGTGGGAAAAATATAATACTTTTTGGAATGGGGTGGCCTCTGAATTTGTAAAGTGCTTTATAATCCTTTTTTGGGTTTTAATACTGACCTACCTCACTGGGCAGTTTGAGTGTTAATTAATTGTAACAGCTTCAGGGTGGATTGAGTGGGTGTCACTTAACACTCTGTGTGCCAGTCTCCTCAGCTGTAATCCTGACCTCTCCTTCCATAGTGGCTGTTCAGAGGAAGAAAAAAGGGACGATGAATTATTTTGCAGCTATAAAGATTATAAAACTATCATTAATAATATAGATACAGCAATCAGAAGTCTTCCTTGAAAGGACTTATCCAGTCTTACAGTTAGAGGGATGTTTTATGTGCAATAAGACAGGAAAGAATCCTTTTATTTTCCTAAAAGCAGTTGGTTATCTTTATGCACGTTTATGTCCCTGCAGGCCAAAACACTAAACTGAAGAAGGGAGACCAATGAATTGACAGTAACAGTAATATTGGACTTGGGAGTCTAAGACTTGGAGTGGAATCTTGGCTCTACCACGTAAAGGCTGGCTGAGCTTAGTCAAGTCACAGGCCCTCTCTGTTTCAGTTTCTTCATTTATAAGGTAACAGGGTGAGGCTTGAGGCCTTCAAAGGTCCCTGATATTCTAATGCCCACATGTCCATGAAACCCACATCTATGGAAGGTGTGAACCAAAGAAAAAAAAGGAGATTCAGGTTAGTCTGGCATTTTGCTTCTGTCTAAGAGGAGGTGTATCTAGGGTGGGGAGGAACAGTTTTGGATTTGAGTGGGGAAACAGGCTATGGAACCATATACCTCAATTGGGCTGTCTCCAGAAGGTTTCATTGTCTGAAGAGTACTTCATTATTTTTTGGGTACTTCCAAAACTGAAATTCCAAATATAAATGTGAAAAGATTCCAGAAGCAACTCTATATGATTTGGAGATTATATACCTCAAGGCTCTAGTTTCAAAATATCACATAATAAAAAGAAAAACCTGTCTCTGATGGTCAGGAAGAAAAATATAATGAAATAAAAATAAATTAATAAAAGGGGGGGAAGAAAAATTTTTTTGAGATAATTCCTGTCTCAATTGTATGACATAATAGCTATGTAATTCTCTGCATTAAACCTCACTCTCCATCATGGGCACCAATAAAGCCTACATCACGGGATCGTCGTGAGGGGTAAATGAACATTAACGTATGTGTGTGTGCTTCACAAAACGGCAAGAGCTTTAATCAATTTCCTATATTCCTCCCCAGAAAATGAGGAAGAAAGGGAGACTAGGAACGTCTTTTAAGAGTGGATGTTGATACTTAATTGGTCTGTAAAATTTCTCTCCCCCGGTGAAAACAAATACCTCGCCAAAAGCAGAAGACGCCCTCCTCTCCCCATGAGCTGGAAATCGGAGTCGGGATTCTGATACAAACGAAGAAGCAGAAGAGATTCCAAATTTCAAGAGGACAGGACGTTAACAGGGATTATAGGGGATCACAGACAAAGCTCAATTATCATGATGAAGGTGAGAGAAAAATATTTTTCAGTGGGGCCTAGGCCTAGAGCATACGTAGGTGGGTATAAGAAACGGGAGGGGGAAAAGGAAAAATCCTTATCCCCTAGGAGCGAGCGTTGGTTTGCTAGCGAATGGGTTTGGGGCCTTGACCAGTCTGGTGGCGACAGGGAAGGGAACAAATATGGGTAGAGAAGAGAATATAGTGATGACGAAGATGGGGGGCTCTGCAGAGACAAAGACGAGGGATATGGGGAGCCAGAGACGGTGCTGAAGGTTGGTCCTCCGGGTGGGGAGAACAGTGTTGCCGACGGAGACAGCGGCAGACTGGCGGTGAGGCTGATGCCGAGGCACCTGCGAGGTCCGAGGAAAAGAGGCTCGCCCCGCGATCCCGGCCCCGCCCCTGCTCACCTTGCCAGTTGCGCAGGGCCTCCGACTTCAGCGAGAGGCCCGAGGGCGCCAGGGGCGGCTGCAGCAGGAACAGGCGGGGCCCGGATACCAGCAGCGAGAGCAGCGCAGTGAAGAAGGTGGCGGATGGCACCTCGGGACACAAGCACCAAGTGCGACACCCGGGCCCCGAGGCCGCCATGAGCGCCATCGTTCCCGCGCCCCCGCCTCGGCAACGACAGCCGGTCCTCAGCTCCTTCCGCCACCCTGCGGCTGTTTCCCCTGGCAACAGCGGAGAGCTGGACGGAAGGCCCGCCTTCTTTGGGCCCCGCCCCGCACGGAGCTGCCCAATCAGATCGCGTGGACCGGCCCTGCCCCGCGCGCGCGTGAAGCCGGGAGGCGTGGTCGGCGCCCTGTGGCTGCAGCATTTTTAGCGTCGCCTGAGTGCCACCTGGGGTGCCTTGGCGACTTGGGTATCCCCGCTCTAGATAGCTAATGATTATGGTGCCTTACGGTTCACAGAGCCCTTTCACACCACACCCCAATCTATGTTCATCCCCTTAACACCAAAGAGGAAACTGAGGTCTAGGGAGATCCCTGAGTAATTCAGCTAAATGGCAAAGACAGAATTGGAGAAGGGGCAGGAGACGGGGGAGAGACTCTATTGAAGGGCTTGAAGAGTTAGAGATGCAACAGAACACCTTCATAATCAAGGTCTGCTTCAGCACTTTACAGTTTGAAAGGCTCTTTAGCCAGAAGAACTGCTGTTTAAGGTATACAACTGGAATATGGTGTCCCTGATTACAGGTGTTTCCGAAGGGGAGGTACTTGCCCAAGATCACCAGTAGGAAGCGGTAGGACTAGGATTTAAATCCGGGTTTGCTGATCCCAATGTTCTGCCCTTTCCACTATTTCCCTCAAACATCCTGCCCATTACCTGTATGTAAATTTGATATGAGGCCACATAGACTACTGAAAACTAAACAAATGCTTCATTCTCTGTGCTGGATATTGTCCGTTTCGCCTGAGATCCATTCTCAGCCCTACTCTACCTCCCTCCCTTGTACTTTGGGCTGTGCCTGTGTCCCCAGCCTGGGCTCCTGTCACCCTCCTCCAGCTCTAGCTCCACTGAGGTCTGTTACCACCATTTGCTCCCTTTCTCCTTCTGACTCGGGGTGCTCCACATGGTTTCATCCTCCAGTGGACTGGCTTGGGTTTCTTCACAGGGTGTTCTCAGGGAAGTAAGAGGGGAAAGGACCAATGTTCAAGCACTTTCCACACCTCTGCTTAGACACATTTGCTGATGTCCCATTGGCCAAAGAAGTCACATGACCAGAGCCATTGTGTGAGGGGACTACACAGAGTGGAGGGAGGCATGATTCATTGGGAGCCATTACTGTAATAATCTACCACAGGCCCCATTCAGGGGCCCTGTTTTAATATAAGTTTTATTATTATTTAGATTCGGAAAGGCCAACAGATCAGGAGATGGCTGCCATTGAAAAGATCACCGATCCCAAGAGAAGGGGACATACCATGGGGAGGCCACATGGAGAAGCACCAGGGTCGGTCAAGAGGCAGAATTTGGGGGCATTGTGGGAAAGAGCTTTTATTGTGGTTTCCAAAGAAAGGAACGGGCAGGGCAGAGTGTAAGCAGGCTTAGGCTTTGTTATTTTGAATAACTTCATAGGCTCTGGGGAATAGACGCACTCCTTGGTTGTCTGGTACCTGGCCCTGGTGTGATTAGGCAGGGTGGACAGTGGCCCCGAGTGTGAGAGCCTGGCAAAGGAGGTGGTTGGGGCTGGGCTCTGGATTGCTTAATTTGCATTTGGAAAGTGGGTTTAAGGATGAGTGGTTTGCTAAGCCTAGGAATTGCTAGCCCTGAGAGGAGCAGTCCTTCCAGGGGTTGGCAAGGCCCCAGATGTCAAAACGTCAGAATACAGAAAATAAAAGACACAGTTAATACAGAACCAGGCGGCCTTTATCCACTCAGGCACCTATGCCAAAATCCTGGGCTTTATTCGTGACTCATTCTCTTTCTACAATACGTCCAGTTACCAAGTCCTATCAATTTTACTTTCCTAGTTTTTTTTTTAATACAACCCTTTTCTATTCTGTTACCACTGCTCCAGTTCCAGCCCTCAGCAGCTTTGCCTGGATTATTGCAAGGGCCTTTTTCCTGGACCCACCACTTTAGGCTTGTCTTTGATTATGGAAGGCATTTTCCAACCCTATGGACCAATGAAACCATCTAAAACACTCATCAGATTATCCCCTCTTCGGTGGCTCCCCATGTTGGATAACGTCCAGATTCCTTGAATGTCCTATTCCATGATCCTGCCCCTCCCCCATTGGCTTTCTCTCCACTTCACCCCTTTCCACTCGCTCCTTTCACTTTTCATTCCAGCGACACTGGACGGCTTGCTGTTTCTTGATTGCTTGGCTTTCACTCCTGTCGTCACTTCTGCCTGGAATTCCATCCGCCTCCCCCACGACTGGCTAATGTGAATCATGGTAACAATGACGGCTAATACTCAACATACATACACTGTGTACCAGGCACTGTACTGTTGTGTGCTTTTTCCATACAGTTACTTGTTTAATCCTCACAACCCTGTGAAGTTCGTTCTGTTATCATCCCCATTTTACAGATGAAACAATGAAGACACAGAGAAGTTAAAAAACTTAAAATTAGGCCACAACTCTTCCAGGAATCTCTTCTGACTTCCTCCCACCCTCAACCTTCCCTGAATTAGGTGCCCTATCTCTGGGTTCCCTTCATGGTGCCTGTGACATGCTGTCGTAGCACTTCCCACATTATAGTGTAATTGCTTATTTGTGCCACTGTATTATGAGCCGCTCGAGGGCAGAAGCCATGTCTGATTTGTGCCTGTGTCTGCATCCACAGCCCCAGGACAGGGCCTAGCACACAGTGGGTCACAGAAAACGTTCCGTGCAAAGTTCTGAACCCTGATGCCTCTGGGATCTGACCTTTCACTTCCCTTCCTTGTCTCTTCTCCCTAAACCTGGGGAGTCTTGTGTAATCAAAACCCTGGGGGCTGCTGTAACACCAGCCACCATCACGGATCCACTTAACACTGGGTTTCTGCTGAGAATTTTAAGATGCCTCCTGAAGAGGAGACCTGGGGTTGGCCAGTCAAGGTTGGCAAGGCCAACCAGGCCAGGCCACATTCTCTACCCACGAAATACTTTCTGTGTTTGCTGCGTAGAGGTTTTAGGCTCTTAGGGCAGATGCAGAAAACATTGGTGTTCCCTTTGAGACCTTTGCGAAGCAGCCAGTGTGGAGCTGGCGGAGCTCAGGCTGGAAGTCAGAAAAAAAGAGGACCTTGTCCTGGATCTGTCACTCACTGGCTGAGTGATCTTGGGTAAGAAAGCCTCAGTTTCTTCATCTGTAAAATGGGAACTGAGATGTAACTTGCAGGGTTGTGATGAGGAAAACAGATAAGAAGACTGAGGCTCAGAGGGGCTAAGAGGATGTGAGGAGATCACACTGCAAGTAGTGGAAGAGCCAGGATTTCAACCTGCGTCTCTAGGCCTCTAATGCTGTTCCATTTCTACCACTACACACATCTCCATCACAGCAGGTACAACATGGTATTTAAGTCTCATTTACATATCTGTCTCCCTTCCCAGACTGTGATCTTCGTGAGGGTCAGGATCATGTAGGATCTTGCACATAGTAGGCCCTCAGGAAATGTCTGGAAGGGACCAAAGAATGAGCATTCTTTGAATCCTTCGGCTTCAGAAAGAAGTTCTTAATCTTTTTGGTCATGTCTAGTGAAATCTAGGGACCTCTTTCGAGAACAATGCTTTTTAAATGTATAAAATAAAATACCTTGAATTACCAAGGGCGCCTATAGTTTTCAAAATATTAATAAAAACCTAGTTGTGATGTAGTACCATATGTGCTACTTGATCGATGTGTTGATTAGCAAGATCTAACAGCAGGTCTGGTGGCTACCATAATTTTGAAGTGGGGATGTGCATAAATGATTTTTCATGTTTTCTTTTCTTTTTTTTTTTTTTTGAGACAGAGTCTGGTTCTGTCGCCCTGGCTAGAGTGCCGTGGCATCAGCCTAGCTCACAGCAACCTCAAGCTCCTGGGCTCAAGTGATCCGCCTGCCTCAGCCTCCCGAGTAACTGGGACTACAGGCATGTACCACCATGCCCGGCTAATTGTTTCTATATATATATTTTTAGTTGTCCAGATAATTTCTTTCTATTGTTAGTAGAGATGGGGTCTCACTCTTGCTCAGGCT